ATGTTGAAGACTTGAAGTAGAATGTCGAATTGAGAATTGAATGAAAATTATGTAATAGTGTATAAAATGAATTGTAAAATCAAGATAATGTAAAAAATGTAGAAGATGATTGTAGAATGAATGATATTGTTGATAATGATTTGTAAATTGTAGAGATTAGAGTAGAGAATGAGAGATTGATATTGATAGTAAGTTTGGTGGAAAAAAATGTTGTAATGGGTGGGTATTTTCAGTGATCGTTCGGTCACATTTTTTGATTTTTTTATATATACGAGCCATGAGCCGTGGCTTGTTGCTCGTAATAAAAGAGGAGTCAAGCGAGTCGACTTGCTCGGGCTCCTTTTGGCGAGCCGAGCGGCCCGATTGCCACTACTATCCGATCTCCATTCACTAAAAGAGTGGATTGTTACCAAATATGTGTTGGTAGAATTTCGACTCGATCTAATAGTTTACTTATTTACGATGCGAAAGAGAAATTTGTTAAGATTTGAAGTTTCGTCTTAAAATGTCAACCTTATTAAGATGAGTTGTCCAAACTCTTATAAATTTGTTTATATTTTCACTGTTATTTGATGTGAGATTTTATCCCTTAACATGCATACTCAAGATGGTGGCTCTTTTGATCGACCAATTTCGAAATCCGCGTGCTCAATTTTTTTGAATCTTAATCTGATCGAATTACTCGTTGGAGCAGACCTTTTCAGCTTATATTTTGTTTCCTTTTCCTTGATGTTACTTTTCAATGCTAATTAGGGTCCGTTTGATTGTAATAGTGAAATTTTGGTGAAAAGAAAATGAATTCTAAAGAATTGTCAATTAATTATATTTAGTTGGTATAATTTTTCACTTGAAAAATGTTGAAATTTTGGATCTTTTGGTGATCGTTTGACTTTGTTTTCTATAGAAATTGCAATTAAAGGGAAATTTATTTTTGTAATTGAGTATAGAATTTGTTTCCATTGTCAAGAAAAAAAACCATTACCAATTCAATTAAGGCTATGTTTGATAGCCAAGGAATTTCATGGAAGAAATAGAATATTTTCCATTTTCCCCAAATTTGATTACTCCAAATTTATTAGGAGCCAAGTTTAATTATTATTACATTTTTATTTCTTGCATTATTTTTTGTTTCAAAATTTTTATTTTTAGTTAAGTTATGCCCCCACTGAATTGTATTCATAGTTCCACAAAACTCACACGTGAGTTAAATGGGATATATTCACTTATTCTCAAATATGTAGAGCATTTCCAAAAATCTCTTTATTTTTAAAGAGCATTTTTACCTTTTTCACACTTCAACGAGTTCATTATTTTTTTTACTCTTTATTTTACCTTTTTCAACAATCATTTATCATTTTTCCTCATATTTAATTAATTCATATATGATAGATTTCAATTGATAAATTATTTGAATATATCTACCATAAATAAAAGAGTTAGTTTGCCTTTACTGTTCATAAGCGATCAGTCGAGTAGAAGCAAACGGCTTTATGGCTTGGCTCGACTAAATTTTTTGTTTTATTTTTATTTTTTTCTTTTATTAGTTTTGTTTACAGCCGAGCCAAATGACTTTATGGCTCGGCTCGGCTAACTTATTTTTTTAAAAATGTTTAATTCAGTTTTTTAAGTTACAGATATTCATTTTAAGCGATTTAAAATTTGTTGGAAATGTTGAAGTGCGTTCATGATA